TAGCAATATCAGGAATGGTGTGAAACCAATAGTTATTTACTATTACAATCAAATTCCATATTCCCCAAGTATTTACCAAGGATCTAACAACTGTTCTCTTTGAAAATTAAATTATTCTTCAAAATCTCTTGAAACAATGGCCAATAAGAGGATTAGAAAATAAGATGATTAGCCTGACAACAGTCTCCCTTATATTTCCAACTGTATTTCTTTTATTTAGCTAGTCCCTTCCTCCTGAGTCTGAAATTATGCTGTTTTTATATGAAAACGTGCTGGAAAATCTCTCCCAAATCAAGGCTTCAGGGAAAACCACCAGTATTTATTTTATACCTAGACTCCAGCTGTGCCTCTCCTCAACCAATCTAAAGTTACATGATTCCCAAACTTTCTGGTGAACTCCAAGGTGGTAATCGGATGTTGAAGGTAAAGGGATCCACAGACTAGAAAGATGTTAATCCTGACAAACTGCCTGAGCATTAGCCTGAACCACAGCTAGATTGAATTCTGTCTCTCCTGAGAGGGCCAGCCAGACTGGTGGTAACAAAACGTCTGTTCATGGTGCCCTGGAAAGCAGATGGGCCACGGGCAGCAAGTTAGAGAAGAGCTTTACTGCCCTCTAGTGTTCAGAAATGTGATCTTCCCTAAAGGAATACAGAATCTGAGTAGGTGCAATGTGCTTGATACCATGTCAAAATCATAGTAGAAAGCTGTCCAATTATATCTCTCAAGCATCTGGTGCTCCCTATTCTTTCAAACAACAGATTTTGGCAATACCTAGAACAGGGACATTTAGGGAATGTCCCATCTTTCAAGTTCATTTTCTCAACTATCTTTAGTTTAATTTAAAAAAAATAATAAAAGACCTGTAGGTTGAAAATAAATTAATAAATATATTCACAAAATTTATTCTTGTCTTTACCTCACCCTAATTCATTAAAATTTCAAAGATTAAAATTTTATCTTGGAAAATATCCTCTAAAAATAATTCATTATTAACTTTGAATCATTTCTTTTCCCCAAAGTTGATCTTCATAACACAAAAGGCAATTTCATCAGAGAGGAAAAAGACAAAAATTATAAGGCTGTTTGATTCCTTAAATAACTGATCCAACCAATCCATTTATATATACCTCTTGGATTTACCAGGAAAACATTTTTTGCATCATAAAGGAACTCAGAAAAGTTGACAAGTTAGACACAAAGCTTTGTTAAGTAACATCAATCCCCATGTAGGATTTATATAAAGAAATACTGGGCCTCTGAGAAAATGTGTCAAGGAGAAAGAAGAAATGTAAAATAAAATTTAGTTAATGAAACAAACCAAAAACTTTTGAATCATCTGCTTAACCCAAACATGATAAAACTGATTTGTTTCCAGGTAGATAGAAGATACTTTATAACAGAGAGGAACATTGGAATTACATGTGAATCCTCAACTTTCCAGGTCATATGAATTCAAAACCAAGGCACAATTTGCTTATCTGTAAAATGAGGGAGCTGGCCTATATGATCTCTATGGTCTCTCGAAAGCACTATCACTGTCTGAGTTTCTGAAGCTAAGAAGAGTTTGCACAAAAGTATGTCTTGTTAACGCTGCTTAGGTGTTGTGGAAAACAGAATATAGATGCCAAAATCTCTGTTGGTTATGTCAGCGATCCTGAAATGGGGGTCTTTGCAAGATAGTGATGTAATTGGCCCCAGTATCTGAGCAATGTTATGAAGGTAAAGACATTTGTTATTTGAAGGGTATGAAATTGTTTTGCATTCCTCAAAATAACTGGAGCATGTACCCTCCTTAAAGAAACAACAACAACATTAACAAAAAGATAGAAGAGAGAGTTGCAGATTTTTTTTATCGTCTCATTTTATAAAATCTGAATTTACAATAGAATTTAGTTTTCAAAAATAGAGATATATCTGAAGTTCTGATAAGAAGGCTGAATATAATTCAACTTATCAAATACAATCAAGATATTTGGCTACTTCAATTGAATCTGAAAACATCTGTTCTATCACTAAAGCAATAAGAATCTTGTTGATTCAACTATCTCCATTTTGAGTTCCAAGGAAATAATCCTTTATTTCTTTCAACCTTTCTCTCCATTTTTTCCCCAGTCCCAAAATCTTTCACTTTTAAAATGCAGTTCTACAAATGACCACTATCCACAAATAAAATGAATGGATACATGCAAATACATATTTTTGCATATACATATATATATATATACACATATATCAGGCTGCAGGGTTATCTCATAAATAAATACATTCATCTTTGTGCTTTAAAAGCACAAGATCCTGATAATTCATACTGGAGCAAAGTTTAAATGGCTCCAAATGTGGCTCATAGTGTGTATTCTAACCACATTCCTTTGTGTTATGCTCCATTTCACTTTTAAATACAAGGTCAATATTCCAGGGCAAAAAAATCGGAGCTCTTCAGCGTCAGATCAGAAATCATCCCTGCTGTGCTTGGGTAAATCATTGTCCTGGAGAATTCCACTTGATGACAACTCTATGTCTTTGTTTTGTAACTTTTCTCCCTTTGTTCTCTGGGCAGCTCCCTGCATACACTTATAAGTACGTTGACAACTTCTATTTTCTTAGTGTTTAGACTCTCAAATGTTCTGGAAAATGGTTCCTGGGTTCCTAGAATGAAGGTCAGAGCCTTTCCCTTACCCCTCCTTGGAATATTGTATTTTTTTTTCTTTATAATGGCTTGTGGTCTAACATTCTAAAATGTGCTGATGCGGTGCTGTGGAATTGTGGCTCACAATCACACATCTGCATTTCCATTCCCCTAGAAAGCCAGGGACTCTCACCATCACTGAGGGGGGTTGGCAACCACAATATTAAAGGAATGGATCTACCCTTACTTCGGATTAATCATCACAGGATCTTTATAATTAAACACAAAATTTAAAAAAGAAAACTAGTAAACACTAATAAGACTTACAGAAGAAATGGAAGGAGAAAAGATTTTAGTCTTCCGTGCAAGATTTCTCTTTTTGGGGGGAGGAGGTTTGGAATCGGGGTTCTTCCTCTGGTCAAAATCTCTCTCCTCCATAAGGGTTCATGAACAATTGCTCCTCCATTAGCTATGGCTTGTCTCCATTCAACAATTTCATTATTAAATAATTAAAAGCCGGGATTTCTTAATAGCAGCGTAATGGTCCGTGAAATTCCTATTGCATCATCAGCGCAAATCAGCAGGGAGAAACTCCTTGCTTCCCCCTACTCGCCCACCCCATGGTCTTCCAGCACTCAGGAATGTTTCACGGAAAGGAGTAAAGGAGAAAAAGGAACCCTGATTACTAAAACCGGACTTGCTGAATAAAAGAAGATCCTGGCAGTGGGTGTGAGATCACCGAGAATGCCTCACCTCTCAGCAATTTCTTCCTCTGTGAAATGGGAACGTTAATACTTGCACTACTTAGCTCACTGACTTTGGGAGGAAGGCACTTGGTAAACCTAAAAGCACTGTAGAAATGCGAGGTATTGTTACTGTTGCTGTTTTGTTATTATTATCATCATCATCGTTATGCCCACTTTCTGGCGGACACTTTTGTCAATATAAATGATCTTCTCTGGGTAGGTAAATGTTTTGCATAGTCACAACAATGTTTTGTTTTGTTTTGTTTTTCTAAGGAACAGAGGGCACTTAGAATGAGGAGTTTGTTTCATAGATGCCAACTGGCTCATCCTAGCTCCGTCTTCGCCAACTTCATATTGTAGAGGTTTAAGCACTAAATGGGCAAATGTGGCCAAGGGAAAGCCGTTGTATGTGAATGCTGGGCTGCCCTTTCTGCTCCTGAAGAACCGTGCGGGGAGAGATGGCTCTGGTCTAAAAGTTAATGGTGTGAATGCCCAGAGAGAGCCGATGACTGTCTCCTGCGGGTCCCCTCCACAAGCCGATAGGATCGAGGGGCGGGAAGGGACCCAAGGGAAACAAAATAAGGATTCCTGCCACCCTGCACCCTGGCTGTACTGCTGCAATATCTTGACACATAACGGAACAATTAAAGTGCCTGAGAATGTCCTCCTTCCCCCTCCCTTTCCCCTCCCCCTCCCATCCCCGTCTCCTGCAGGAGCTGCCCTCCCATTGCCCAGATCTTCCATTCCCATCCCGTTTTCCATAATCAGGAAGGGGATTGTAACCCTCTCTGGGTAGAGCTGATTGGGGGAAAAGGGGCGTGAGGGAGAAATGGGGGAGCTGCGAGATTTTCAGCCCTGTTTTTGGAAAATTAAAGCAGCTCGCATTTCACGAACCTCCGGAGAAAGATTTCTCCTTAGGAGTGTATTTTTTTTTTCGGGGGTGGGGGGAAGTGGTGGCGGGAAGGGAGACTTGTTTCCAGATGTGTACCAGCAACGTTCCAGGAAAAACCCTTAGAGGTTCCGACCTGCGGAGCCCCGAATAGTCCCTTCAGACAAAAGCTCCCCTCTTCCCCAGCCCCTTAGATCGGTTTGTATTTTCTCTGAGCAGGGAGTCGGGACCACTAGAACCTCTGGGTCCCTAGAAGGGCACGCTGCACCCCCGCCCCCAACACACACAATCCACTTACCCACAAAAATCTCTCTGAGCCACTGCCGCTTAAGGAACCCCAGTTTTGAAGTGGTGAGAAGGTGAGAGTGAATCATCACTAGAGCCCACATCTGGCAACCCCCACCAAGAGCCCCCAACCAGAGTGGTTGCGAGGAGCCCGCATCTGGCCAGGCGGGAGAGAAAATCCGCTAGCTGCTTTTCTCAACCTACCCCCCCCCCTTTTTTGGCCATTAGAGCGCCTATCCACTTTGGCTAAACACCAAACACGGCAGCGGCGGCAGATTTCCTATTCCCCCCCAAAAAGAAACACACACACACACACACACACACACACACACACACCCTCAAACCCCAAAAGGGGGGAGTAGACAGCTGGCCTCATTCACTTCCCCCCACTTACACAAATACATTAATAAAAACTGAGGAGGGGGGGCTGCGACTGCAGCTCCCCATTTACCTTGGGGTCCTCCAGGGCTGGCTCAGTGCTGTCACCCCCAGAACAGAGCAAGGAGACAAGTCCCATTCACAACTAGACAGCGGGCAGACACAACTGCATCTCAGCTTTGGTACACTCCACTCCGCTGAAGGCGCCGCTGAATGAGCCGCTGAGCTAGTGGCAGGAATTAGAAACCAGGGGGGAGGTGGCGGGGAGGGCGGGAGGGTGGGGAGGGGGGGAGGGAAAGAGAGAGAGCGAGAGAGAGCGAAAGAGTGAGACAGGCTAAGGAAAGGATGGGGGGGTGGAGGAAAGGAGTAACGGCAAGAGTAGAGGCAGAGAGACTGGCTTCCCTTTGGCCTCTGGGAGGGGTGGGAGGGAAGAGAAGGGCTGCTCGTTTTCCCCCAAGGCCTGACCCAGTAGCGCTTTCCAGCTGTGCAAACCCCTGGGTTCCCCCACCCACCCCCCCCCTCCCGCCCTGGATCACTCTGCTCAGGGTCTGCCTGGACTAGGGAATCAAACTGAATGACTGAAGTTGGGCTCCAGAGACGCTCAGCCAATCAGCGGCGGGAAAGTGGCCAGGGACGGGGAGGGGCTGGAAGCCCCCCGTGACCTCCCCCCTTTCCCGCTGTCCTCTCGGGTCACCCCATAACCACTCCAGCAAAGGCACCGCGGGCTACTAGCTCCCCCCGGGTCAGGATAACATTAGGCATGGGGGAAACGGGGTGGGGGGGAGGTTGGCATTAAGAGAAGCAGCTTTCTGGGACCTGGGAGGGAGATGGAGGATGGGGAGCAGGCATTGCCCCTCTACTCCACACTCGGGTGCCAGACCGTGCTTGGGACGAAAGCGGGGGTGTTGTCGCTTCACCTGTTGTCTCTCGCCGCTCCATTCCCCACCCCCCACACCCCACCTCACCCTGTCTCAGCACCAGGCTGCGGCAGGCACAACGGGGGGCACGAGCGCTGGAACTACAGGGACCTGGCCGGGGAACAGAGGGCTGGGTCCTTGGTCCCTGCGGGGCGTCCTTAGCCATGTTGTACATCTCTCCGTGCCAGGCTCAGCCAACCTCCTTCTGTGGCCCTCGGGATCAGCTAGGGGAAACCCTACTGCAGGGTCAGAGTTGAGGGTGGTCAGAGTTGAGGGTGGGGAATCATGCAAGCCCCGGGCTGCTGCTGGGGGATCTTGGCAACAAGGTAAAGGGGAGTGGGGGCGGGAGGAGAGGGGAGAGTCCCTAGAGAGGCCCTCGGCTCTGGGTTGGAGTAGATCTGAGCCGGAGCCTGAGTGGGGAGGTTGGAAGTAGGGAGTTGAGCTGGACTTCTGTACACCACCCTAGAGACCCAAAAGACAAGAGAGGGCGACCGGAGAGGGAGCAGAACGCGGGCCTTTAACTAGCACCACCAGCTTCCTCTTGTCACCAAAACCTGGCCCTGAGAATGGGGGTGGCCGGCGACATCCTCTCCTATCTCGACCACCTAGAATTCTATTGGAGGGGAGGAGAAGATGGCACATTGAGGCGGGGTTGGGGGGATGAGAGGAGTAGGAGGTAGGAGGAGAGAGGGAGATGGGAAAGGAGGAAGAGGAAGGAACAGAAAGAGGATGATGAGAAGGATTGAAAAGTAACAGAAAAACAGAGGGAAAGAATGGAAGAGAAAGAGATGGAAGGGGGGGAGGAGGTGAGAAGGAGTAGAGAAGAAGGAAGAAAAATAAAGATTTTGAGAGAGCTCTATGAAGGGAGGCAGGTGAAGGAAGATAAGGAGAGAGGCTCAGAGGATGGGGAGGGGGGCAAGCAGGGGTTTGATGGTAGTGGGCACCACTCTAGGTCTACAGAGCATCAGCAAATGAAACTGAGCAGTCCATGCTTAGAGACTGATGTGACTGGGAATGGGGTTTGAAACCAGGATCCCTCACCCACCCCCCAGGGCCCTGTCTAGCTCACCCAGGCACCCAGAGCTGCCGGTATCTCCCAAACACTTGGAACGATTCTCTTGTTTGGAAACTGAGAAATAATGGGAGGAAAAAACTGCCCGCTTCCCATTCCCCGGTCCCCCTCCCTCAATTAAAGATCCATGCGCTCCAATGTAAGATTTTACGTTTGGCTAGCTTGGACTGTGGTCCATCGACTTTTCCTGGGTAAAATGAAAAGTGACAGTTTGGAGGCAGCGGAGAAACCCATCCCTCATCCGACCCTCCTCCCACCTCCCATGCCCCTCCTAGCTGAAGCCTGGCAGCTGGTGAGGGGAGTTCAGTCTGTCCCGGGGATTGGAAAGGGAACCCCAGCCTAGGGTTTACTGGCTCAGAAACTCCCTCTTTTCTCTTCCTCCCTCCCTTCTGACTCTCGAGGAGGATCTAGACATTTACCGGAGATGCACCAGGTTTGGGGTCCTGCAGGGCAGCGGCTTCTACACGTTGCCCAGCCGGGCACCAGGGGCCAGATCTCTCTCTGCTCTGCCCAAAAGACGAAGCGTTTATTTACTTAGTGGGCCGTATGGACTTTAAACATGCCAAGCCCCAGGGAAAGCAGGGCTGCTTTCTCTTCTGCAGCTGTCACAGGAGTCTTTGCTAGCATTCACAGGCATTGACCACAAAGCCCCAAATCCACTCTCTTAGGTAGTCACAACTCATCAAACATTTCCTGAGCCATTCTGCTGTGCAAGGCCCTAGGCTGGCCTCTGAGGATACAGATGGAGGAGGGGCAGGGGAGATACATAGTCCCTGCCCTCAAGCAGCTTATAGTCTGGATCAGTCTTGGAACAGGAGTTGTTTGTTGGATAAATGATGGGAGGTAAGGTTCAGTAGTTGTAAGGGAAAGATCCAGAAAATTTGAGGAGAGTAAAGGATCAAAGAAGGCTAGAGGCATCAGGGAATGCTATATGGAGGAGCTCATTCCTAAGTTGGGCCTGAAAGGAAAGATTTCAAAGGAGATAGTATTTTCAAGTCACAGAGGATGGAAGATGGTTTGTAGCAATTACAGGGGAGGAATGATAGCTCTAGAACTGAAGGGGACCTTGGAGGTCACGTAGTCCAACCTCCTCATTTTACAAATGAGGAAACTGAGGCCCAGAGGAGTTGTGACTTACCCAAGGATACCAGCAGAGCTAGCATTTGAATGGAAGTTCTCAGGCTATCAATGCATTGTTCTTTTCAGCTAGACACATTGCCTCTGGAGAATATTATGAAATAAAGCTATAAAAATAATTCATAAGATTTAGAACTGGAAGAAACCTAAAGGTCGAACTGGTGAAACCAATTCATTTTAAAGTTGAGGAATCTGAGGCCAAGGGATGTGGAGAGACACGCCCAACAACAGGGCTGCCATAGGTGGCAGAGGGAAAAAACACCAACACCCCCATCCTCTGCACATCCCAACCTAGCACTCATTAAATAATGAGTTGGAGATGAATTGTGGACTACCATGCCCACCGCTACCCTGTGAGGCTAAAGTGTTTGCATTTGTCTAATAAACAAAAGGAAGTCACTGAAAGTTCTTAAGATGGGCAAACACATCACCATAAGGCAAATTCTTCTCTACATATAGCAAACCCCCCTTAGCACATTGATTTTGTTTGCTGGAAGTAGCTCAGTTAAATCAAGATGTAGGGGAGTGGGGAATGGGGAATGGGGAAAGTTCTGGGAAATTTCTCTCCACCTTGGACCTCTTTTAAATCACAACTTATCCTTTTAAATGGAAGTTACAAAATAGACATGAAAATGTCAATTTTCTTTCTGATGAACTGAGGTCAATTGTTTTTACTTTTATGTTAAGAGTTTTGTTTTTCTAGTCCTTTCCCTTAGACATAAGGAAAATCAGAAGGCATTTTCAATTTAATTGATCATACACAAAGGCAGAGGGGATATTCCATAGTTAAGAAGCCCATTGATCTATAATGAAAGGTTTTGTTCTTTGAATATGAGGAGCGTAATAACTAATGAGTGTGATGTGTAGAGAAGCTTGGTTTTGACCTTATTCTCTGAGTTAAGCCCTTAAAGAGCATAAATCAATCAGATGATGCATACATCTCATACTTCAGTGAAGTACAGTATACTTTATAAAGGTTATGAGCATTGAATTTACAGTCATAGTTCTTTTAGAAATATAGTTAAGTTCTTGTAGAACTTATAGTTAGGAGCTCTGATTCATGCCATTTCAAAAACACCTTCATTTGGAAGTGGCATCAAATGGTTATTGTGTCAGTTACTATGCTAAGAGATGCAGATAGAAATAGAAGAAAAAGAGATGATTGCTGTCCTCAAGAAACTTACATATGATGGGGAAAGTCAGTGCACAAAAGGTATCTAAGAAGAAGAGATGGATGGGGCAGGGTATCCACATAGGGGAATGATTTCAATTTCCTAAAAGTTGGAAGCAAAGCCAAGAGGGGAATGCAGATTGTCACACAACATGGGTTGACTGCCACTTAATATCACTGGGTCTGGGCAAGCCACATAACCAGTCTAAATGGATGATCAAGTACTATAATTCTATAAATAAGGAGAGTTCCACTTGGAGGAATTGGTGCTTCAACTATGCTTTGGAAAAAGATATGGCTTCTAAGAGATGAAGATGAGTAATATGTATATTCTAAAGACAGAGTTCTCCCTGTGCTGAGAGGTGAGACTGAGTGGAACAGATCCTAGAAAGTCTAATAAAAGGGGGTGGGGGGTAAAATTAATGTAGGTTATATAAAGCAGTACCCAGAGAAGAGTTCCAGCCAGAGCTGGGGGCCTAGCCTGTATTACAGTTAGTGATGGAGGATGATTTCTGGTTTCTAAGTATATTCACAGCCAGGAGCAGAGAGGACAGTGGAGTTCATGGACGATAACTTTTTCAACAGAACTCACTTAGAGTAGAAGGACTTCTGCCTGAGATCATGACCAATGCATTTGACGTTGTAAGAAGAAAATAAGAAACTGTTCCATGTGAGCCAGGAACAGAAGACATTGTTCATAGATGATCACTGAGAGACACCAGACATATGTCACTTCCTCTATATGCCACGGATGTAGGAATTTGACCACTAGGTTTCAGAGTGGCTAGAGTGTCTAGTGTGGCATCAGGATTACCTAAATTTGAATTCAGTCTCAGATAATAACTGTGTGACACCAGGCAAGTTATTTAACCATTCTGTGCCTCAGTTTCCTCAAATGAAA